TTCCCCCTCCCCAAAATCCCCTCCCTGTCCTCCCGAGCCCGCACTCCTCGTTTCCCCCTCCCCAAAATCCCCTCCCTGTCCTCCCGAGCCCACACTCCTCGTTTCCCCCTCCCCAAAATCCCCTTCCCGTCTGCTCCCCCTGTGCCCAGCGTGTCCCTGACCAGCACAGACCTCCTGGCAGAGCTGTGGGACGTGTGGCAGTGCCCCAGGTGTGGCAGCAAGGACAGAGGCTGTGGCACTGCCAGGACAATCCCGGCTGAAGCTCAGCCCCGTGGGGACAGCAGTGTGATGAGCTTTCACACGTACCCACCCAATTATTATCACTTGGGAAAGCAATAATTAAAATATCAGCTGCAAATTAGCAGCTGGCACGGAGAAATTCCCCTTTTTGGGGCAATTTCAGCCCAGGGAACTCACCCCTCTCATCCCCCCACGCCCAGCTGGGAACCAGCTCCTGCAGGGGTGGTGTTTGATGCTCTCTCCATTCTGGATCGAGCCCCAGTGTTCTTCCACAATTTGGGATCACCTTTGGGGCTGTGGTTGGGGCAGGAATCTCAATCCAGGGCTGCCAACACTACCAGGCTGCTTTGGGAATTGCAGAGCAGCCAGGGACAGCTTCCAGGGCAGCTGGTGACACCTGGGGTGTCCCTGCACCCCACCAGGGCAGTGGCACACCAGCAGGGGCCCTTGGAGTGTCTGCTGCCCCAGAGAGGTTGCCCCGGCACTGAGAGAAAAAACCCCAAGCCCTGCCTCAGTTTCCCCACCTTTGCCATGCAGGTCCTTGTGTTACTGCCCATAAAATACTTTGGAAATGAAAAGATCCTGCTGTTGTGTTATCACTGTTATTCATAACATCCCCCAGGCTGCCTTGCTGGAGCTGCTGCTGGAGAGGGACGATTCCTACAGCCACAAACAGCTGAGTTTGATTTAGAGAGCCCTTTTCTGTATGAGTGAAATAATTACAAATAAACTCTGCTCGTTTAGTGCTGTGCTGGAGCAGATGAGCAGATCCCAGGGCGATGTTGTCACCTCCACCTCAATCCCCAGCCCTGTCCTGGCTGGCACAGAGCTCCAGGGCTGGGGCTGCTGCTGCTGGGAAAACTCCTGCCCTGAACTCTGGCAAACCCCGCAGGGGGAACCTGCTGATGGATTTTTGGGCAACAAACTGGGCAGTTTTGGATGGCAGGGAGGGAACTGAATCTGCTCCATGGGGACACCAAGACAGGAGGGTTTCACAGTGGAGGTAAAACCTGTGCTGTCCCTTCACAGCTGACCCAGCTCCTGCAGGTACCCCACAGGTCCCTGGCCTGGTTTTGGGACAGTTCAACCCTGCTCTATGCCTGAAAATCCTGCAGGATGAGCAAACGGGAAAGCAGAGCACCACAGACAGCAGGGAAGATGTTTGTGTGGAAACAAACTTATTGGTTTTATGAAAAAAAAAAAAAAAAAAGTTATCCCATAGAGTTTGGGACACAAACAGGTAGAGTTTGCCTTCATTCCCAGAGGGATTCATCAGGGAGTCAGGCAGCCGTGATGGGGAACTCAGGAAAACCCAGCAGAGGTTCAGCAGGTGGTGGCACCTGCATTTCCCACTCCTCTCCTCTGGCCTTCCCCCAGCTCCCAGCTGGAATCTCCTGGAATACTCAGCCCTGGACAAACCTGAAGAGCAGCAGGAAACTGCAGAAGGCAGGAGGTGGCTTTGGCTGTTCCACTTAAGAAGGGCTGGGCTATTCTTGGGAGGATAAACTGGCTCTGGAGCAACCCAAGCTTGCAGGGAAAGCCACCAGCCCAGGAGGGATTGGGACTGATGTCCCCACCACTTCCATCCCCTGCCCCAAGCTCTGCATTTCAGATCCTGAAGTGCCCCCAGTCCTGGCCATGTCAAGGCAGGGATGGATTTAAGGAGCCTGGAGTGAAATCCCATTTTCCTGCCATTGTGCCCAGGGCCTTTTCCACCCCAGCTGGAATGTTCCTCTAAACTGCAATTGTAAAGAAGATTAGTGAGGGGGTATCAGCCTCTTCTTCCAAATATCAAGTGGAACAAGCACAAGTGGAAATGGCCTCAAGTTGTGCCAAGGGAGGGTGAGATTGGAAATTAGGAAAACTTTCTTCTCTGAAGGATTGTCCAGCACTGTCACAGGCTGCCCAGGGCAGTGGTGGAGTCACCATCCCTGAAAGAATTTGAAAGACACGCAGATGTGGCACTTGGGGACGTGGTTTAGTGGTGGTCTGGGCAGTGCTGGGTTAACGGTTGGACTCAATGGCCACAAAGGTCTCTTCCAACTTAAACATGAGCCCACGATCCTGGAAAAATATTCATTTGTGCACGTTGAGGCCAGCTATGACTTCTTCTCCAACTAATTTTTGAAATTAGCTATTCCTGCAAATAGAGGAACACCCCAGCTGAGCAGAAGGGGATGGGACACCCCAGTGCAGCCCCCATCCCAAATCCTGCTCTCTGCCAGCCCCAAGCACCATGGCTGCAGCAGGAAAATCTCCCCTGGTGTCCCTGAGGGGCAGCAGTGACAGACACCAAGCGTGGGCAGAACTCGGGGATCGACACAGAAATCAGGCTGGAAATGAAACACAGAGCACCAAACGATCTGCAAGACTCCAATTCACTCTCAGGGGGGCAGGGAGGGCCCCTGTGGCCCGTACAGCCCCGAGAATCATACAGAGCTGCCATATAGAGATCTCTCTATGTATATATTTATAGGTATGTATATATTTATAGTGCACTGCGCTTAGAACAGCCGGGCCTGCTTCTTCAGCTCGTTCCTCTTCCACAGCGCCAGGCGGTCGAACTCGGCCATGGTCATGCCGAAGATCTGGTAGAATTCCTCCTGGGACAGGTGTCTCTGGGGAGAAACGGGAGGCTGGGCACCTTCCAGGGGGTCTGAGGGCACCCCCTGCCCGCAGGGACAACGGGGTGACACGAGCCCCAGCACTGCTCCCTCAGAAAGGGGAGCACCTGCCTCCCTCCTGCCCCTGCGCAGGGAGCAGCCGTGGCAGCGCCCTGCCACTCGTGTGCCCCACGGCCACCGCGTGCCAGGGCTGTGCCCTGATTGTCCCCAGTGAAAAAGGCTCTTCTCACCTCCAACCGAGTCCTGTCCACGTCTTTGGGCAGCTGGTTCCTCCCCCTGGTCTTCACCAGGAGCAGCTCGTAGGGGTAAATCTGCACGGGGACAGGGACAGGGACACTGGGGCGGCCACGAGGCACGCGGGGCACACTTGGCACTCCCGCTGTATTTAGCAGGGTTTGGGTGGCACAGCTGGGACAAGGAGAGGTGGGGACTGCTCTGGGGGTGACCCCGATCCTCCGTGGAGATTCAGCTGCTCACTCTGCAGAGCAGGGATGAGCCAGGCACGAGCGTGAGCAGGACAGCACCAGCACAACCCCCTGCTCTGCTCCTCACCCAGGGGACAGATCTGCCCAGCAGCCCTGGCAGAGGGAGGGACACAGCCCTGGCATGGGGCCGGCAGGTCCAGGATGGAGGAGAGGAGAGGCAGAGGGCAAAGCTTCCCCCAAAGAGCCCGGGGGCACACGGATGCTCCCTGGCACTGCCAGCTCCGGCGGGTGGCTCCTCGCAGCAGGAGGCTCTTACCTTGTACTCTGTGGGACAGCAGAAGGGACATGTCACCATCACTGTCACCTCAGGAGCTGCCACCACCCCCCCGAGGCCTGGGGACCCTGCCTGTATCCCCCATCCGCCTGCAGTTCCCTTCAGAGCGGCCTGCGGGGGCTGGCAGCCCCACAGCATGTCCCCACAGCGTGTCATCACAGCCCCACAGCGTGTCCCCTCAGCATTGTCCCCATAGCATGTCCCCTACATCCCCACAGTGTGTCCCCACAACCCCACAGTGTGTCCCCACAGCCACACAGCATGTCCCCTCAGC